GACTTACTCAAATGGCAAAAAGGAACATTGCTCCCTCTTTCCAACTCCCTTCTCTTGCGGGGGCCCAATTAGTGCCATTGCCTTCCGTTAAGAGTTTGGGTGTAATCCTTGACACCTCCCTTTCCATGGAGGCGCAAGTTACAGCAACAGCCAAGGTGACATTTTTCCACCTTCGCCGCATCAAGCAGTTGGTCCCTTACCCTTCCTGCCCCGATCTGGCCACAGTGATCCATGCGACGGTCATCTCCAGGCTTGACTACTGTAATTCGCTCTACGCGGGCTGCCCTTGAAGCTGTCCCAGAAACTCCAGCGGGTGCAGAATGCTGCAGCGAGGCTCCTCACGGGGTCTCTGCCATGGGAGCATATTCACCCAGTGCTTTTCAAGCTGCACTGGCTCCCGGTGGAGTACAGGGTCAGATTTAAGGTGCTTCTTTTGACCTTTAAAGCCCTTCACGGCCTAGGACCCTCGTACCTACGGGACCGCCTCTCCTGGTATGCCCCACGGAGAGCCTCAAGGTCCATAAATAACAACACCCTAGTGGTCCCAGGCCCTAAGGAAGCTTCAACCAGAGCCAGGGCCTTTTCAACTCTGGCTCCGGCCTGGTGGAACGCTCTGCCTCATGAGACCAGGGCCCTACAGGATCTGATTTCTTTCCGCAGGGCCTGTAAGACAGAGTTGTTCCACCTGGCCTTTGGCTTGGAGCCAATTTGATTCCCTCCCTCTCTCTCTTTCTTTTTTCTTTTCCTTCTCCTCCTGCGATGAGGCTACATTTTAATATTTTAATGTTCCATTATTTTAATATTGTATTTTATTTTTGTTTTTAAGTTGTAATCATTCATCTTGTTTTTATTATTGCTTGTAAGCCGCTCTGAGCCCGGCCTTGGCTAGGGAGGGCGGGGTATAAATAAAAAATTATTATTATTATTATTATTATTTCCCGGTCAGGAAACCAACCTTGCGCATTTTGCTAGTTACAAGATTGGTCTTTAACAAAATATCTGAAAATAAATGGGATATTGTTAAGGCCTCCCATAAAACTGCACCGTAAATGTATTGTTGTTGTTGTTTAAAAAACCCACCAACGAAAGCATACCTGCCTGTGTCAGATAAAGATGGACAGACAGAAAGGTAAAGGAAAGGGGGAAGGATGCTTGAAAAGACTAGTAAAAAGGTAAAGGGACCTCTGACCATTAGGTCCAGTCGTGACCAACTCTGGGGTTGCGGCGCTCATCTCGCTTTATTGGCCAAGGGAGCCGGCGTACAGCCTCTGGGTCATGTGGCCAGCATGACTAAGCCGCTTCTGGCAAACCAGAGCAGCGCACGGAAACTCCATTTACCTTCCTGCCGGAGCGGTACCTATTTATCTACTTGCACTTTGCCGTGCTTTCAAACCGCTAGGTTGGCAGGAGCATGGACCAAGCAACGGGAGCTCACCCCGTCGCAGGGATTCGAACTGCCGACCTTCTGATCGGCAAGTCCTAGGCTCTGTGGTTTAACCCACAGCACCACCCGCGGCGTCCCCAGAAAAGACTAGAGGTGCGTATAAAAGACTAGAGGTGCTTATAAAAGAGTGCAACCATAAAGGAGAAAAGCAGCATTTATAAGGGAAGCTCCACTCCTCAAAAAATGACAGCTAGCAGAGGCACATAAAAAGTGAAAGGGCTGTGAAGGATTTAATTCTACTGCCTACAAATGCAAGAGAATTTGCAATTGCAAGGTTACATTTCCGCAAGTAATCAAGAGGCTGCTCTCATCTAAGAATGTTATCTAGAGACAGAATCCAAGCAACAAGGACAAGGAGTACCCACTCTTCAAAACTGGAAGGCAAAAGATAGCTGTTATCAATAAACTACACATTAGGTCACACTTCAGAATGAAACCGATTCTAGTGCTAAAGGCCAATTAGCAGTCTAAGTATACAAACCACTAAGGATCCAAAAGTTTATTCTATTCTATGACTATTACTTCACAAAGCCAAACAATAGTATATCCAATTAGCTCTTGCAAAAAGACAAGCAGATTAAAAAGTATTTTATGGGTCAGTAACTTCACCAGACTTTTTTTTTGCAATACCCTTCCTACATAGCTAGGACTTGAACTGGAGTAATTTCATGGGGATTTTTTAAGTGTACTTCCAGTTAAGCTACATTAGCAGATAAAGAACTAGCAGTTTGGTCTGTAATGATCCAGGGAGTAACAGCAGCTACCTGTGGATCAGCCCTCACATCCCATGCGGCATGCTTTTGGTGGCACCTTCTCTATTTTTACAAGGGTAAAACAAACAGCCTGCCATTTATTCCACCCTTGCTAAACAAGCAAGTATCTTAAAGCCAAATAAAATAGTCTTGATCTTTAGTGGTTTGCAAGTGACGAGCCAAATCAATTCAAGTCTTGCAGCACAACAAAATCCATTGAGTTTGGAGGCCGACACCATTAGTGGATGGTTTAATAAATTGCCCAGATTAACGATAAGACAGCTCTCATTCAAAGAAGTTCCCAATTAAAACTGCAGGCTAAGGCAGGTTCTACTGCAGAATTTTTCCATTTACACACACACACACACACACACACACAGAGAGAGAGAGAGAGAGAGAGAGAGAGAGAGAATAGATATACACCTGGAAATACCATTAATGGGGGAGATAAATCCAACTATATGCCTAGTTCCAATGCCAACAGTGCAAAATAATTTTGTCTGATATGCAAGGCAGATGATATAATCAGTAGGTTTCAAATCAGTGTGCATTACTACTATGCTTATCATGTCCAGAATTTTGCTGTGATTATAGTAGCTGGCTTGTGGTGGCCAACAAATCAGTTGACCAAAATCATAGACACATAAAATTCAAGGCATCGTCTGTCCAATTACAGAATAAGGAAAAAAATGTTACAAGTTTAGCTTCTATTTATATGTGAGGCTGAATAAACAGCTCTCAACCAAACGTTCATCTACTGTGCTTCACACTGATTATTCCCCTCTGGATATAATTTGTAAGAGTACACTATGATCTGCAACAAACACATCTGTCTATTCTGGTCCTGGGATACAGTGGTGCCCCGCAAGATGAATTTCTCGCAAGACGAAAAAATCGCTAGACGAAAGGGTTTTCCGTTTTTTGAGTCGTTCTGCAAGACGAATTTCCCTATGGGCTTGCTTTGCAAGACGAAACGTCTTGCGAGTTCTTGCGAGTTTGTTTCCTTTTTCTTAAAGCCGCTAAGCCGTTAATAGCCGCTAAGCTGCTAAGCCGCTAATAGCCATGCTTCGCAAGACGAAAAAACCGCAAGACAAAGAGACTCGCGGAACGGATTAATTTCGTCTTGCGAGGCACCACTGTACTACATGCAATCACAAGGTGGGGTACATTTTCCTTGAGAAAAGAAATATAGGGAAAATTGTCATGTATGAAGCAGGCTTAAACTCCTGTGTGATCAACATTATGAATTGTTTTCAGTAGATCTGACACTCCACAATCAAAATTAGCTGTGGCAATTCAAACACTGTTTCCCACTTATCCTCACAGCAAATAAGGAATGACGGTTCTTCAGTACCGTATTAACTCGGATGTAATGCACACCTTTTTTGGCCAAATTACGTCGCGAAACTTAGGGGTGCGCATTAGATTTGATGGCACATATACATTCACCGGCAAATACTCTTCTGGTTTCAAGGTTTTGAAAATTGAGGTGTGCATTAGATTTGATGACGCATTAGATTTGTGTACATACAAATCTGTGTGGGCTGCACCACTTCAGCCGGCATGGATGTCTCAATGTAGAAAACTAGATATTCAGGAGCTGGTGAACATCTAACTTTCTACATTTAGGGAGCACAGGTGTGTGCGTGTTTTGGTATAGAGAAGAAATCTACCCTGGAAGCTCCCCTTTGTAGTGGTAAACAAAAGCTTACCAAAAGTAAGAATGAAGTGCAGATCCTTCAATGTCATCAAAATCATGTACAATATGGTGCCTTCATCCTCATCTGCTGCTTCTCATAATTGGGCCTCCCTTTAATGGCACCCCCCAAAAACCACTGCCATATAAGTGGGCTGTGTCACCCTGCCTGTTCAGCCAGCTATAATATAAAAACCAAATGGACAAAAGAACACCCCAATTTAAACAACTGAATAGGGAAATATGTTTTTCTGCTTTTTATTCATAAGCACGTAGTATTTAGGAACACACATTTGAAATTGGCCAGCTTCGCCTACTGAACCAGTTCTATTTATTTACTGTATTTCTGCATTGCTCCAAAGGGTTATCTGAGTGACATGTGGTTTAAATGAATAAAAACAGTGAGAAAGCAGTAACCCAAACGAAATACAACCATTGCAGGGCAGCATTAAAACCTATCAATAGCACAGAACACACTTTCTAGTGTTGCTTGTTGTTAATCCTACTTTGAACAAGTTTACCAGTATTAAGCTTCCAGGCCTGAAATAATCCTCTGCTACTTCGGGCACTGCAGCCAAAATAACTGGAGCAGCTGCACTGTCACTGCACAGGTGAATAATAGGAGACAGTCATCTTTCAGCAGGGAAGCGGGAGATGAAATTAGGTTTCAGGCCGCTAAGCTGGCACACACGCAGTCCAGGTACACAGATTCCCCCCTTATTCCTATTTTGATATGAGATATTGAGGTGGGGGCGGGAATCAAGCCTAGACCACCTTACACTTACTTGCTAAATAATAATAATAAAAAAGCCTGGACTCCAGTCTACCTGAACATACTATCCAGGGAGGCCTACAGTTGAACCCTAGATGTCTGGGGAAGGCTGAAGATCTCTGCGATTCCCAAGTCGGGACGAAAATAGACTCTGTATGGGCTCAGAGGCACTGTCCACCCCACGGAGCTGAGAACCCAAGGAGAGAGCACAGTACACGGGCAACTCTGGTGTGAACTCCAGCCCTGCTTTGGAAGGCAAGGGATGCACTCTGAAAAGAGTCTGGAAAACTTAATTCGGCGCAAGGCAAGGGGTCCATGGCAGGGGCACTTGCTTACCACGGCAGCTTGCAGTAAGGGAGCGGCGTTTTCCCTGCCCGGGTAGCGGCAGTTCCAGGCAGCGCGGAAATCCGGCGGGGGTCTGAGGCGGCCGCGGCTCCGGCTGACGAGAGCCAGCAAGGTGCCGACTACGAAGGCGCTGGCGGCGCAGGCCAGGTAAAGGGCCAGCTGGAGCAGCAGCAAGGCCAGGCTGGGCTGCCCGCCAGCCTCGGCCGCCTCCTCGCCGTCGTCGCCCTCCTTCTGCCGGCCCAGGTGGAAGAGGGACACCGCCAGCAACAGCACCCCCAGTCCGGCGGCCAGCATGGAGCAGGGCAAGCCGCGACCAGTCGCCGCCGCCGCCTCGTCGTCCTCTTCGGCGGCGGCGGCGGCGGCCGGGACGCTGCCGCTCCCGCACGACTCGCCGGGACTCTGAGCTGCAGGGGAGCCGGCGGCGGCCGAATCGAGCTGCCCGCTGCTGCTGCTGCTGCTGCTGCTGGAGGGCACGTTAGCGGCGTCGGCATCGGGGAACATGCTGCTCCAGGCGTCTCCGGGAACCAGCGCATCTCCCGCCGCGGGGGCCCCCTCGCAAGGTCGCGTCCCCCCCGTCAACAAGACTCAAAGCCCCGCATGGGCGCAGGCGGCCGGCCGGGCTCATGCCCGGGATCCCCGAAGGGACGCGCAGCTACAGCGACGCAGCCGGGCCGCCTGACTGCGAACAAAAGGAGCTGCTGCTGCTGCCGCCGCTGCGAGCGGCTCTCTAGTTCATCGCATCTCGCGCAGGAGCCGGCGGAGGCCCGGCTGAGCCTGTTTGCGCGCCGCGGCGGCGAGAGGAGGAGGCGGATGAGGAGGAGGAGGAGGGAGCGCCTGAATGACAGCAACTGCTGGAAACCGAGCCATGTGTGCTCCAGCGGGCAAGGCGGGGCCAGCCGCGTAAAGGCAGCAGCTCCGGGCCAGCTCTTGCCTTCCTCCCCTTGGCTGGTTGCGGTGTCAATCTTAGCGCTGAGATTCGCGCAGCGGCTCCGTCCTGTGGGTTTTCGCTTCTCAGGAAAAGAAAAAGAAGTGCTCCCTCCAGCGGAAGTCTGCAAATCCTCCTGCGTTTTGCAATGCCTGGTTGTGATTTGAGAAGCATGCAAAATGCGCGTGTTTCCAGTTGCATCCGACAACCCAGCTACAAGATAAAGGGTGATAGCAGGGCGCTTTCAGCACCAAGAGTTATGCAGCCCAACCCTATGCATGGCCGTGAGTTCAGAGGGTTGTATTATTGGAAGGGGCACCGAGGGTCATCTAGTCCAACCCGCTGCGCTGCAGGAATCTCAGCTAAAGCATCCATGGCAGATGGTCATCCAACCTCTGCTTTAATATCTCCAGTGAAGGAGAGTTCACCACCTCTCCTGGGAGTCAGTTCCACTGTTGAACAGTTCTTATTGTAACACCCCCACCCCCAAAAGGGTCTCTGGCACTGCCTCCTGCAGTAAAGCCAATTGAGGAGACGATGGGTGGAAAAGGTATTCAGTTTATTGAGAGATGCATCAATCTAGACACAGGGTGAATAAGATCACAAAGGCTGTGCACCTCACGTTGGGGGAAGCAGATGTATATTGCAAAAATGCCTGAGCTCACGCCGGATGCCCATAAGCTTCCTAATTGGCTAAAGTTCTGCATAGACAAGAGCATGCTAAGCTCTGATCTTCTCGCCACTTGTGGGGGCTCATGTTTGTTCCGTGCTTGCATTAGCAGTTTCATATATGGTTTTGGAAAACCACCTAGCTTCCTGTCATGCTCTGTTGTTACAGTACCTATGTACTTTACAAACCCTAAAGGTCACATTTACTGTAATTTGCTAAACTGGTAGATTCTTATCTCTATTACCTCTATTGTTGTTTAGTCGTTTAGTCGTGTCCAACTCTTCGTGACCCCATGGACCAGAGCACGCCAGGCACTCCTGTCTTCCACTGCCTCCCGCAGTTTGGTCAAACTCATGCTGGTAGCTTCGAGAACACTATCCAACCATCTCGTCCTCTGTCGTCCCCTTCTCCTTGTGCCCTCCATCTTTCCCGACATCAGGGTCTTTTCCAGCAGTCCTCAAATTCATGCAAGCATAGCGAGGCTTCTGCTATACCATGGGGGGGGGGGGCAGTTACAAAAAAGCAAAAGAAAACTTCATGTTAGAAACGTCCTGGTGCTAATGATTGTCCACTCAAGTCCACCTAGCCCTGTATCCCTTGTGGGTTGGCTAGCATTACCATCGGAAAGTTCTTCCTGTTCTTTAGCTGGAATCTCATTTCTTGCAAGTTGAATCCATAGTTTTGGGTCTTCTGTTGGTAATCTAGAATAGCATTAGCTTCCCCCCCCCCCCTTTTGGCTGCTGCATCACATTGTTGTCCCATGTTAAGCTTGTGGTCTAAGAAGCACATTTACTACTGGAAGGCCAGAGTGTCCACCATCTTAGATTTGTGCAGCTGCTTATTCCTGCCTAAGTGTGGAACCTTACATTTGATAATTATTGCTAATTATTTTATATAATCAGTGAATATAATGTGGGCCTTATTCTCAAGTAAATATGCCTAGATCCTGCTTCAGGCTGTAACCCTAAAGGCTGTTAAATTAAATGAGACTTGCACCATGATCCTATGCATTTCCTCAGAAATTTAAAACAATGGGATTGAGTGATAAGCGTGTATTGAACAGTAGCCTTGCAACACAGGCGTTTGCACGTTTAATCGGAAGATCCCACTTCTTAATGAGACTTAACCCCAAATCAGTGACCATATTAAGACTACTCCTTAACGCTTTTGGGAATGCAACTTAAACACTCAGTCAGCCACAACTCTCTTGAAAATGAAGTTTAAGGCAACGGTTGTGTGGATGCCATGAGGAATTTGAGAACGAAGAGATCGCATTATTTACGCTGATTGTAGCAGATCTTATTTACAAAACCCTTTGAGCAGCCTCGTGAAGGAGCCATCGAAGGAGGAGGAAGCTCTTAATGCTTATAGAACACCTTTAAGGGGCTCTCTTGACGCTGGGTGATGGCGACAGAAAAGGCAAAAAGATCCGAAATCCCCGTCTAATCTGCGGGGATTACATGCCCTATTTGCGGCATTGCCAGTCGCTACCATTTACGAGACGAAGATTTGACCTTAGCTAGAGAGTAAGCGGCTACGGCCGCCTAGCTAGCCTGCCGGCGCATCCAAGATTAGCCCAGGAGCCTGCTGGCAGCCTGAGGGCACACCTTGGCAAGCGCCTCTAAAGCGGCGGCCCCCGAAGCAAAGCGAGCGAGCGAGCTCAAGGCTTCCACCTGCTGCATTGGAAAGGGAACTATTACACATGCCCACGCGGAGACGGAAGCAGCCTCTTTCCCCTCCTCTCCCCAATCCCGCCCTTCCCGTGGTTACGCAAACACAAGGCCGGGCGGGAGAAGCCGGGCTTGGTGGAGAGCGCGAGGCGAGAGGCGCTCTCCGAAGGGGCCTCCAAGCGCCGGGGCGCTAGCGACGCCTTCTGCCCGGCCGGCCCGCGGTGAGTACCCGAGCCTTGCTTGCTCCAGGCTGCTCGCCCTCCCGCCTCCTCTGCAGGGAGGTGGGTGTCGGCGGAGCCGCAGCTGCAGAGCGCCGACCCGCCGCCCTCCGACGCCTCGCCGCGGGCTGTGTAACCACAACAAAGCGGGAAGGTGGCGGGCGTGTGCCGGCGTTTCCTCCGACGTATCGGAGGTGCATTGGCCGTAGTGGCGGGGGACGGGGGGACTCCTCGGCCTTTTTCCAATCGAGGAGAGGAAGGGGTTTGCCCTCCGTCCGACCCCGCCTGCATGCAACCAATTTTCTGCGCGTGGCTAGCCTATATGCAGCCTCCTTCGCCTTTTCGAGGAGCTCCTTCGTTAATCCTCCGTGCAATGTCGCTGCAATAATTATCATTAGGCTTCGGCTTGACGTGCGGGCGGGCTTTTGTCGCCAGCAAAGGTCGTTGCGGGAGGGGGGCGAGTTGCGCGCGATTATAGTCGCTCCCATTGCGCCCTGACGCATCGCGGTCACGACTCAGGAGGGAGGAAACCGCGCTCTTGACAGATGTCTTCCTAGGCAGCCGGAGCCTGTTTGGCTGTGACTGGGGAGGGCACGTGGTGTTTGAGCTCTACCTCGAATGGGGAATGCTTATGCCTTTTCGAAGAGTGAGCCTGAAGCCATCTCCCAGTGTTAAACTTCGCTTTGTGCAGGCAAAGGAGCGGTGGGCATCCTGCATTCTGGGGTGGACCTGGTCTAGATAGGTAGCAGAATACTCAGAGCTGGATAGGTTGGGCTGTACTGCTTCAGATACAAGTGATAGTGGGGAGGAAGTCTGTTTTGAATCCTTCATAATGTTAAACATACAAATGCCTCCCTGCAAGTAGAAGTGAGGCAGGGAAGCACATAGGAGACAATGATTCTAGCCCAGGCTTCTGTGCTAGCTTTCTACATGTAGGGAGATTTTATTTTTTAAAAAAATTAAAAAGCAATGCATCCACCTCACCAACAGTCTGAAGTGGTATAGATCATTCTACCACCTCCTTCATTTTTCTTTGCCATGGGCCAGGGAGTCCAGATCAAATAAAGCGGTATCCAGGCAGGCTGAAGCCTGCTTCCTTTTGTTTACCTCAATACATAGATACCTGTAGTGGTAAGATAAGAGAGTGGCAGAGCTTTACAGCATCTGTTAATATGGATCCTTTCTTTCTGTGAAGCAGGATTAGACAACCTGTGAGGGACGCGGGTGGCGCTGTGGGTTAAACCACAGAGCCTAGGATTTGCCAATCAGAAGGTTGGCGGTTCAAATCCCCGTGGCGGGGTGAGCTCCCATTGCTTGGTCCCTTCTCCTGACAACCTAGCAGTTCGAAAGCACGTCAAAGTGCAAGTAGATAAATAGGTACCGCTCCAGCAGGAAGGTAAACGGTGTTTCCGTGCGCTGCTCTGTTTCGCCAGGAGTGGCTTAGTCATGCTGGCCACATGACCCAGAAGCTGTACACCGGCTCCCTTGGCCAATAAAGCAAGATGAGCACCGCAACCCCAGAGTCGGTCACAACTGGACCTAATGGTCAGGGGTCCCTTTACCTTTACCTAGCCTTTCATATTGTTACAAAAACCGGGTGCCTGCCCCTCCCACTGCCGAGCAGTGGGAAGTTTGTGTCTTAATCCATATCCCAATTAATCAAAATCCTAACATTTATTCATTCCTAAGGTTTAGGGGGAATACCCCTTAGTCTATAACAATATGCCGTATTTACTCAAATCTAATACCTATTTTGGCCAAATTATGTTGTGAAAATTGAGGTGCACATTAGATTTGATGGCGCATTAGACTCGAGTAAATACGATATTTGTTGGACTCCACCACCCATCAGCCCCATCCACCATTGCCAGTGGTCAGGGGTGATGGGAATTGTAGTCCAACAACATTGGGAGCACAGGTACCCCACTCCCACTGTAAAACATACTTCCCATGACTAGAATAGTCCGGATCAGTGTTGCATGCCTGCCAGCGTGCTTGCCTTCTGCGTACACACAGTCGGCATCACTTGCATCTGTGAAATGTTCTCTGCATCCTCCCTCGCTTTCAACAATGATACTCAGGAAGCAACGGTGGCAATTATCAGACATTTTAAAAATTGTATTTTTCTATGTTGCATTTCCTTGAGCTTCCTATGGAAGCATTTTAGTGGCTTTCTATGTGAGACTTTGCCAGGAGCTGTCAATTCAGCGTGGTAAGGTTTTGTGCACCTTTAGATTATATGAAAATGTTAAGCTCAGAACAGAAACAAGCAATTTCATGCAATATCAAATTTCCTTATGAAATGGTGGGAAAAGAAGCAACAAAATCCCCTCTAGGATCATTATTGTCTTTTTAAAAAGATAAATGATTAACATTCTGCATAGACTTAAAGTTGGGCAGAGATACAGGGATGCAAACTTAAGCAGCTCTATAAGACCTCTAGCTCCACCTACGTTTCATATCCAATCCTTCTTCTTTAACTTTCCACATGCTGGCAGAATCCCACCACTCCAAATGGTTAGGTCACATTGAAAGCGAAATCAGAACCTGTGGCCTATCACTTGAGTTGCTGCTTATGCTCCCACAATTGGAAGCATTCTAGACAATCAAGCGCAGAATCCTGGAGATTGAATTCCAAACCCTTAGTTGCACAGCCAATAAACCCTGTTCCCCATTGGGGTTGGGAATTCCACCCTCTTTGGCCAGGACACTTCATATTTACACCAGCTTTACGATCTCCACCTACTCAGAGCTCTTTCCCTCGCAAGATTTAATGTCTTATCATCTGCAGTTTTGCAAGGTAGATTTTTGAAAATCCCATACTCTGATACTGCCCTTGTGGCACAAAACAGGTTGAATGCATCACACACGTTTTTGTTTTATTGGCCATTTTATGCAAAAATATATGATAAGTATTTGGCCCCCTTATTGAAGGAGGGGATTTATCACACTGGCTCTTCCAGGGTATTCTATCTGCTGAACAATTGTAGTAATGACGTTGTGGAGTATGTGGCAAAATGTTTGAGTGACGCCTTGAAATTACATCACCATAGGTCCTAAGAGCCACTTTCATACCTCACAATGTTTGGACAGCTTTATCCTAAAGTATCTCCTACTATGTTTTGTTAACTGTATTGTGTTCTGATCCATGTATAGAATGCAGTTTTTTCTATGCCAATAAAGGAGATTGACTGATTGACTTGTAGTTGTAGAGTGGGTTTTGAACCTATATTTTTTAATCTCTCAGTTAGTAATTCTGGTGTTCCATTTGCAGGAACCGCATTTCAGCACCTTTTTTTGATCATGGACCGTATGTATGAAGATGTGTCAGACTGTGAAGTGGATCACTCTTTCTTCGATAGTGACTTTGAAGAAGATGCGGCGAGGAAAGGAGCAACAACAAAAACAGATGAGAAGGGAAATAGTGAGCACACACAAACGGAAGATACGATTACAGGCAAACCTGGCTTGAACACGGAAACCAAAGTGGTGGAGGATAACTGTACTGAGGAAGAAGACAAGGCAAATAAAGATACAGAATCTCAGGAGGGGGAGGAATTAATCAATGGTGCTTGTGATCCTGAAAATGCTGTGTTGTCGTTAGCTTCTCTAAATTCAGAAAAGGCAAGTACATCTGGTAGGATTTCAGCACAAGGTAAAGGAACGCATGGAAAAAATATTTCCCCTCAAGTTGACCAAAGAGTTAAAGAATCTGAGGAAAACTACTATACAGATGAAGAAGACAGTAGCGATGACAGCAGAAACCAGAGGGTTAGACTTAAGTTGTCTAAGCAGTCTAATAGTGCAAAGGTTAGCAAGAATATTGCAGTCAGTTCCTCCTCGTCTTCCTCCTCCTCACATTGCCTATCCTGTAGTTCTGATACAGACTGCTCAGATTCAGATGGTTGCTTGTCAGACTCATCCTGCTCTTCTTCAAAAAAGAAAAGCAAATGTAGCTTGGCGCTTCTTTCTCTGAGACAAAAACCCAGCACAGGAATTAAATCGGTGGAAGTAAAACCCAAGCTTGGTGACTATGCAGAAGAGTCTGAAGATACTGTGACTGATGTGACTCCTCTGTCAACTCCAGACATCAGCCCCATCCAGTCTTTTGAACTTGCAGCATCTAATGATAAGAAACTAAAGGTTAAAAGACAAGAAAATGTGAGCCAGGACTTATATGGTAAGCATGAGGTGCAAAAAGCTTTACACTTTTGAGGAGAACAATTACAAGCCCTGACTGAATTTCTGTTTCTCCTTAGAACCCGACTTGGATCACAAATGTCATCAAAAGGTCCTGCAAGAGGCTGTGGACTTGAATCATCTTTTGAAAGGTGACATTTTCTTAACTTTAAAAATATGGGATTTGCTCTCTCAAAATAATAACATTCCGATAGAATATGTATGTCTCTGCTGTTCTTTCAGATATGGATAAACATTTTCAGTTTTTTCCTTGAGTTCTATGGAACAGCAATTGTTAACAAAATATTTGTTTGGTAAAGTTATTATTTAGATAGACTGCACTCTATACACGATAAATGTCTTTCCAATTTATTTCTGTTTATTACATTTATATTGTACTTTCTCTCCAATGAACTCAAGGAAGGACACAGAGTTTTCCCTGTCCATTTTATACTTCCATCAACGCATATAAGTTGCTATGGAGGTTAGAGTGATAAATAATTACAGGACCAAGGTTTCCCCACAGTGCTTAGTGATTGAGTGGGTGTTTGAATCTGGGTCTGTCCGGCCCATCTGTGCAACAAGCTAAAAAGGTCGCCATTGATTCCACTGGATATATTTTTTAATTCAGAGTAGTAAAAATCTGCATGGCCATAGTAGCATAAATGACAACATATAACCTCTGAAGTAGAAGCTGGATTCTATGTATGTATGTATTTAAATAGTACATTGCTAGCTAAGGTTTGTAGTTGAAAAGAGAACCTGAAATTTGCAGCCAAATTCTGTGGACGGCTTAGAAACTAAAGAGGCAGTCAATGGAAGACACATTTTTTTTCAGCAGAGCTGCTAGGGCCCAGCCAAAAAAATCACATTCAAGGGGGACTGGGGAAACTTGGTTATCTCCTGAGGGATAAACTGGGTGTGGTGATCCTAGTTCACCAAGGCCCTCCCAACCCAATTTTCCTTCTACTCATTTTCGCGCCACAGCAACAACCAGATCTCATGGTTCATCATAACAATGGACCCTCAATGTATATTTATAGTAAAATAAGTTATTATTTTCAAGTGGCAGTTTTCAGATGTTAGGATGCTTGTATCTGATACATGTCAACCTTTTCTCTCTTAGCAGAGGTTCATTGTTGAATAAATTACTGAGAGGCAATAATCAATGATGACTCAATGCTATGTATTTAATTAAGGTGGCTTTACTTGTTGTTATGAGGTGATCGTTACAATTATCAAATTAATAATGAAACAGGAATTCAGCATATGCTTGTCTGTTAGTTTGTGGTTCTGGTAAACACATCCAAACACCCTTCCGTGTAAATAAGGAAAAGAAAGCATCAATTACCTTATAGCCTAAAGCATCAATGCTCTATTGGACTCAAACTCTCTCAACCCATACAGAGCCTTCAAGACTTTTTATCTCCCTGTCTTAAATTTGCCAAAGTATTGCACCCATGGTAGCAACTATTCTGAAAATCAACTAGAGGTATTGTTTTAGAGGGCAAACCATGAATATGGGAAAACTCTAGGACTCTGTAAAACTTCCCTTCTTTACTGCAATAGAAGTTTAGTAGTTGTACTCCTTGGGAAGACGTGATCAAAAGTCTAGATGCTGCCTGAGAACTGTTTGAACACAATGTACTAAATTCACTGGCATGAAATAGAGGAAACGTGTGCTGATCTCCTCCTGCAGGGCAGAAAATGATCATCCAAGCATATAAAATTGTCATGTGTATGAAACTCTGCTGTTCAGGAGTCTCCTCAGTTGCACATAAGTTCACACATATCTTTCCTCTGCAGGAACTATCCAGGTGTCAGTCTTGGGGAAATAGTATCTGATATTAGCAACACAAAATTACGTACTTCAGTCGTAAACTGAATGTTACATTTTTCAGGCACTTTTGAAAGAGGATGATAAATCAAAAGAGAGAGGGGAGGGCATTCCAATTAATTCTTGAAAGTATATGATATTTAAAAAGAAACTCAATATCACCAAATAGATAAATATGGATTATTAACCGTTTAAGTCACTTCGATGCAGAATTGCAGTACACATTAGCTTAATCATGGTTTTTGAATGTTTAAAGATGTTTTATCAGATCAAGACTGAAAAGATATCAGATCATCATTGCTTTAAAATGTGATGCTAGAACACTATTCATATCCTTTGATAATCGTATACTTATTCATCCTCTTGCACTTGAATTCTGGATAGACTTATTTTCAAGGTAATATTTCTTCTGTTCTTGCACCACTGGTAATTTGGTTTTTGAAAGGGTATGTTCTTTAGCTGTTAACACTCCAGAAGAGCCTTGATAATGTATGCATCTTTTCTCAGGTGAATTTTATTTTATTTCTTGCCAGCAGCCCCAGAGACAACCTGAAACCTCATTTTAATATCTGCTTTCTTCTCTCACATTGCATCTTGAGATTGTGATCAGATGCAGACTCCATCTGTCACCCAACTTTTCCCTTCTCTGCCTCCCACCTTGTTCTGTTTGCCATCTAGCCTAATATAGAGTTCCTGCCTGCTAATTTGTGGCATTTGGGTTGGCCTAATAAAGGTATTGCCCAAATACAGACTTTGGATTTTGTTTACCTTGCAGCCCAACTTCTCCTTTTGCATACCTTTTTTCATGTCACATATTTATACAATGCAAAGACCAAACTGTTTTAGCCTCCTGTTTAGCCTCCAGTTTTTGTAATGCAAATATAAAATGTCCTGTAGATGAAGGGAGCCGTTTGTCTGTCTCTGAGCATAAGTGAGTTAGAATAGGACTGTTAGAACAGGGTTCCTCAACCGTGGCCCTCCAGATGTTTTTGGCCTACAATTCCCATGATCCCTAGCTAGCACGATCAGTGGTCAGGTATGATGGGAATTGTAGTCTCAAAACATCTGGAGGGCCGAGGTTGAGGAAGCCTGTCTTAGAATGCAATTGGAGCTCTCTGAACACAGAGCTCTGGGTCAATTAGCAGAAGAGGCTGCTTTACTTCTCAGTAGCTCATTACAGTTCCTTGACAACTTGTATTAACTCAATTGGACATGCACGTCAATGCATGATAGGGAACGGAAGTCTTCCTTGTACACAAAACAATAAACGATAGAAATTAGCACAATAAATCACAGATTTCAGTCCACCCAGAGGACACTTTCCACATTATAACTCATTCGGAAGAGCAAGTACAGCCCAGTTTTGCAAAAGATATAACATGGGAGGAATTATGTGTCATGCACTCTCTTTACAAGTTAAATGCAGATAAGCTGCAGAATTTAGCATAAATAAATAAATTATTAGCTTTTTTTTTTTTTACCGAATTTCATCTAAAGATCACAGGATGATTTACAATATAAAAACAAAAAACTACATACCAAGAACATAGGTAAAGGTAAAGGGACCCCTGACCATTAGGTCCAGTTGTGGCCAACTTTGGGGTTGCGGCGCTCATATTGCTTTATTGGCCGAGGGAGCCAGCATACAGCTTCCGGGTCATGTGGCCAGCATGACTAAGTCGCTTCTGGCGAACCAGAGCAGCGCACAGAAACGCCATTTACCTTCCCACCGGAGTGGTACCTATTTATCTACTCGCACTTTGACGTGCTTTTGAACTGCTAGGTTGGCAGGAGCAGGGACCAAGCAACGGGAGCTCACCCTGTTGCGGGGATTCGAACCGCCAGCTTTCTGATCGGCAAGTCCTAGGCTCTGTGGTTTAGACCACAGTGCCACCCAAAAACACCCCACCTACATGCACGGTTTAAAAGGCCATATATTGCTTAATTAGCCAAGGGCCTGGGAGAGGATGGTTGTTTTTGCCTGGAACCTGAAGATAGGTAATGAAGGCGCCAGGTGAGCCTCCCTGGGGAGAACATTCCACAAGTGGGGAGCTACCACAGAAAAGGCCTGTTCTCATATTGCTGCCCTCCAGACCTTTTGCGGAGGAGACACACAAAGAAGGGCCTCAGATGATGATCACATAGGCATGTCCTCTTGTTTTAGAAAGTTTTTTAAAAAGTTAAGAATGTAACCAATCTAGAGATAACACCAGTATGCCTTCAAACATTGTGGAATAGTTATTGGCTGGAGCTGAGGATTCTGGAATTAGTACAAATATATGTAGTTTGCTGAATGCTTTCTATCATTTGATTACACTGCTCTGATATGAGATGTCTGGTGCCAATCTATTATGACGCACTGCTGATGTCATGTAAGCAGATTCTGTATTATGACATCCTGGCAGTAATCATTGCAGCATCAGAAGTGTTTCAAGAGTTGAACAGCAGGAAAGAGGATTTCTCCATACAGTTAGACTTGCTATAGATCAATGTGATGAAACATCCCAGTTTTCAGGAATTTGCTGGCAGAAAATAGGTGAGTGCTGTAGGCAGAAATTAGGGAGAGAAATTTAAACTAATGTGGAACTTTAAGGGGCAGCATCAAAGAGAGGTTACTTTAATGGGCAATATGTTAAACATGACTTGGAATATGTAACTAAACATTTCTGTAATCAAAATCAATCTACATTTATTTTGTACAGCACCTAGCACATAGTTTCATCCTAATCCTGGAAACAGTCTGGGTGCTGCCATAGACCACCTATTTAATAAAAATATGTATACATATGTTATATGTAAGCTCTGGATTTAAGCCAGGATTGTCTCCAGAAGGATTTTGCAATCCATGGATAGGTGCAATATTCTAAGGATATGTGAAGTTGTTCATGGTAGTCTGTTGTCATAGTCTTGGTTCCAGTGTCTTACCTGCAGAAGCGGATTGGGCAGGAAGAACTGTAGATTGGTTTTGGCTTATAGATTGGTAGATTGGCTTATAGTTGAGATACATAGATGTATTTATCCTGGGCGGGCATAGCTAATAGCCATGGCATCAATTGTCATTTTATAGTGATCACAGCTTTCCAGTACAATTTGTAGGACATCTTTGTTTTGATTATCTCACAATTGTACTTTTTTGGGGGGGGGGAATTCTATACATAAAATATATTTGATAGTGAAGTCCCTTTTAAGTTCAACATGATCACCCTAACAAAGTTTTAACAGATTACATGAAGTGCTGTATATCCCAAACTGCCAAACCAACTGGTATTGGTTTACAAATACCACCCAAAATATTTTCTTATTTGTGACCATTTTGTGAAAGTTGCCAAAGAACATGCCTGGGGCTTGACTCCTTGGTGCAGCTGAATTAGACAGTCTTGAATACAGCTATTAAGCTCTGTGCTGATGTTCATGCAGATTATTTGTTGCTGGACTCGTCTCCCTTATCCCAAACTAGCATCCCTGGTAAGGGATGATGAGAGCTATAGCCAAAAATCATCTGGAGGACCATAGTTTCCTTATCCCTGTTCCAGATTGTTAACTTCTACCCATGGTGAAAGGAGAAAACCTGGTGCCAGGTAACAAATCAACAATCCCTTAATCAGGGCTTTTTTCAGCCGGAACTCACTGGAACTTAGTTCTGGCACCTCTCAGGTGGACTCCAATAGCCATTCTAAGAGAAGGAGGGAAGTGTTCATGATGAATTCCAGCACCTCTTTTTCTAGAAAATTAGCACTTCTCTTAATGAATCTATTGTGGTGATAGAATATTCTTGAGCACATTTTTGGCTATATGAAAGCACTCCTATATTATTTGTAGGAGGGGGGCCAGAAGTGGAAAACTCCCTTCTTGTGCCTTAGGACATTTGTTTTACCTTTGTTTATGATGGCATTGCTATGAAGCAGAAGCCAAGTGCTCACAATGTGCACATTTTTAACTGTTCTCGGGAGGTGTAGGAAGGATTAGTCTTGCACAACTTCCCTATATATTATATCTAGCAACAATCATTTTAATCTGCTAATCTAGGAGTTTTAAGATTTCACTTTGTTTCCTAAGGTGACCTCGTGTTTCAGTATTAAACAATACATTTTTTAACTGTCCTCCGTAGGGACTGTATGATAGAGCAAGACTGGGGTGCTTTATCCATTGCAGAGAACTAAAGCACTCTAATTTAGAAGAAATTATCTATGTAGAAGCTTCAAGCAATGAAGGGTTGAGATGTGTAAGTGACTCTTTAATATGCAATATTTAATAGTTGTTTTGCCACATTCCAATATGTAAAGCATTAGAACAGAACATGTAAAGGTTGTCACTGGCTAAATAACCACACAACTGTACTATAATAATATAGGGCTGTTTTCATGCTTTTGCTAGTGTGCACAAACTATCATGCAGGCATAATGTAATCTTTTGATTTAATTTCACTTTCCTTACCTAGCACTCCACTGCCAGATACAAAACAGTTTTCTGTGAGCAGAAGGGCACCTTTGAATCAAACCTGTTGTATTTAACTGAAGTACAGGTAGAATACTGGTAACTTAGAATTGTATACTAATATATTGGGAGAAACTGAGCACATGGAAGAGTAACACTTTTAATTGAGTTTAATTTTACACTGGCATGAAATTCAGTACTAAGTAGTATGAGAGCACCTTTTATTAATTTTGGGAAAACTCTTTTATCAAATTTTGTGCTTTTTCTGGAAATAAATCATTCCCTTTCTTTACTGTACGCATCTCATGATACTGTTCCCCTAGCTGCAACTCTTCTACCAGTTCTTGGTATTTCGCCCCAAGCGAAGATGGGTATTAGGATGGAACAACTAGCTGTTTTCTCTGTATGCATTGGCTTTCCCTTTTAGGTTTCTTTTTGAATCCTGCTTATAATTACTTATCAACCTAGCACTTTGAAAGCATGCCAGTGCAAGTAGATAAATAGGTACTGCTGTGGCGGGAAGGTATACAGTGTCTCTGTGTGCTCTGGTTTCCATCACAGTGTTCCGTTGCACCAGAAGCGGTTTAGTCATGCTGGCCACATGACCTGGAAAGCTGTCTGTGGACAAATGCCAGCTCTGCCTGAAGCAAGATGAGTGCTACACCCCATAGCCACCTTTGACTAGACATAACCATCCAGGGGTCATTTACCTTTACCTTTTCCCCCTCATCATCATCATCATTATTTATTATGTTTCTGTTCCACCCTTCCTCTCAACATAGCCCAGGGGTGGCAATCAACTAAGCAGCAAAACAGTGCAAGTTAAAATAAATTATATTTAAAACCTCTTAAAACATTGAGAATAGCTAAATGTTTTGTAAAATAGTTGCATACCCCTACAGCTAAAATCTCTCTCTCTTTCCATGAACTGAGTAGCCCTTTCCCAAAACTTATTTTCCTATTGTTTGCAGTTTATCATACTGCTTATTATTTCTATCTTGGTCACCAGTGTAAGGGTTTGGAGAGTCACGTAGAAGCTTATCTAAGAGTAATGGAGGTCCCTATCCATGCAGAGTTTCTGAACACACCATTCAACACACCATATGTTCCCTTGATTTCTGTAGGCTTTGAACCTAATTAAGATTTAAAATTTATGTACCACCTTCTGTCTGCTTTTACTCTTGCCATTTAAGTCCCTAAAGACAAATCAAACTTGTTCAACAATTTCAGAGTCTCTAACATCACTGTGGGTTTTTGTTACACTTACAAGGGAGTTGCCTGCCCAAGACACACACCTTAAGGCTACCATCAGTTCCACAGTTGTCTGCTTTGCTGCAAATTGGGAAGCATTTGATTTTAAATTCCAGTCCATGGTTTACTTTTGATAAACTAAACAGCAAAAAGTTACTAGAGGATATGTATCTGTGCCAGAGGCCTCTGAAATAACCTCTGCCTACTGTAAACAGATTAGTTGAGCAGTCTCGTATCCATTCAGCAGAAAGCAACAGTTTCCTTTCTTCACATGTGGTAGAATCAGGCAATTAGAAGCAGGCAAGATACTTTCTTGAAGATGACCTAAGCACTCCTGAAATCATCAGTAGTCAAGGCTTTTGCTCAGAGACAGTATACTTCCTACAATGCTAGAAGTTGAATCATGGAAATGAAATCCCACAATCCCCAGAATGAAAAATGCAAGGCAAATGTTGAGAAATGTTTGTTTAAATATTTTGTGCTATTTGTAGGCCCTTTCCCATGTCACTTTGGGTTGCTTAACCACACCTCTGTGCTTAACTCAATAGCACACAAGGTCGAAGAACAGAGTATCTGGTGTTTGAAACTTTAAAACATACTGTCCTTGGCTAATGCTCATGTTTTTTTCAGCAGTGTACATATTGCCAATGATGAGAAATGTAAGTTGATATAGTGTGGTTCTCCAAGTATGGAGAGACTCTTCCACAGCAACTGCCAGTATAGGACATCTTAATACAGGGATCACCAATGTGGTACTTGTGGGTACACTACATGTGACTACAAGGTCCCTTCCTCCGTCCCTCTGCCTGCTGAAATTAGACTTGAAGCATTTTGCTATAGCTAATAGAATAGGTTGTGATAAGCACCCACAATAGTATCTCCAGTTTGCAAGTGTGCCTCTGGTTTTAGAACTCTGTCTTAACTGCATGTACATTTTCAAAATTATCTATATTATCAGCTCATCATGTATTTCTAGATGTGGCCAAGTGCTCACATTGCCCAGTCCTAGCTCATGTTTAAGAATTATAATGCACATCATAGACCCAGCTTCACATATGTGTTGGATTCCTCCTTAAGTATACTTCTGTGCTATGTCATGACTTTTTATGGTTTACATACATTCTGTTTCTTTTGTTTGGAAACAAATGAGAGTTGGTGTGCCTCTTACACTTGGAGCCTAATATTGCAACCTTATGCACAGTTTTCTAGAACTAAGTGCCATTGAACACACTGGGTTAAATAACCTTGCAAAAGAGTGCACTGCAAATATTCTTCAGTGCCATGGTAGCAGCAGTATTGTGTTCTCTCTAGGCTAGCCTTCCCCAATCTAGTGCCCTCTGAGTGTTTGGGCTACAACTTTCAGCAACACAAGCCAGCATAGTCAATGGTTTGGAGCGTTATGGGAGTCATAGTGCAGCAACACCTACAGGACACTAGGCTGGGAAAAGCTACTGTAAGCTTTTGCTACGTATGCATGTGTTGCCATTTAAAAGCTATAGGCTGAAAATGAGGTAACCCCCTCACTTAAGTTAACTGGTTAAATCTGAATTCAGATATTTCTGGATTTCAAGTGAAGATATACAACCCCCTTCATATATGTTGGCTTCTCAAAGGTTTATTTGTTTTTAAAGCTTTTCTGCAGCTGGAGAAAAAAGAACAACAGAAGCTGGTCTTGGATCAGTCCTCTATAGGGTCAAGGAAAAACTACTCTTTCACAAATGAGGAAGTTCGACAAATTGATCGGGAGAACCAAAGGCTCTTAAAGGAATTGACAAAGCACTCTGCAAAGCCCAGGAGCAAAAGTACCTCACTGAAGAAGCCTTCAGGCCCAGCACCTAAGATGTACCACAGTGCCATCAACAGGCAGAGAGAGCAGCAAAGGATTGACAGAGAGAATCTGGTTAGTTGAAGTTCTTTCGTTTATTAAGCGGAGTTTTGTACCTACTAAGTGCATCTATTACAATCTTCAGTATGTCATTGAGCAGTGTCATTGTACTATTACTATGATGTGGAAAGATGTGTCATTGTAGCATCCGCCACATTCTGTCCATGTTCAACCCAAGAGGGAAGGGGGTGAAACCAGCCAACCAGAAAATAAAAAGCAATATAAAAATGGCATGCCCCCAGCATCCCTTGAAACACAACTGCAGTCCACTATTGTGTGAACTATAAAGTCCACATGCCACCCACATGGAGAAGGAACCAGTGAACCCCCAGCACTGATACAGCCCCCAACTGCAGTACACACTACAATGTTGCAGCACATAAATCTTATCTGCTGCAGTGCCATAGTCACATCTCCCTCCTCATTGACCCTGTTCCATGCCCTTCTTTCCCCTGGCTGGAATGTGTTCCTAAATTTTGATAATGCTCTTGGGCTGCATACACACTCTACCTTTAAAGCACATTCTTTCCCTCAAAGAATTCTGGGCACTGTGGTTTCTTAAGGGTTGTTGGGAACTGTAACACAGTGAGGGGTAAATGGCGCCCAGAATTCTTTGAGGGAAATAATGTGCTTCATATACACTTTAAAGGGATAGTGTGCATGCTGCCTTATTTGTCTGGATGCACAGTTGTGTGTAAACCTTTTTACTTTTTTGCATGGCTGAAATGCGGCCTACTATATACAAGGGCTCCACACCTCCGATAAGGAGTGGGTTGGAGGGATCCCTATCTACCACTCCCTAGAAAGAAAGTTAACTTGAGGAGTTCTTGAACTGTCATCTTGGTAGCAAGGAAGAAGAAAAACAAATTATGTAGTACCAAGAGAGTACATTAATAGTGTGTCAATAGCACGAAGAATGTAGCCCACAACATAAAATGAAATGGAAATAATTGAGGCGATAGCTAGCAGTCAGTTTCATTATCTGTATCTTTGCTTGTTCCATTACCATTGAACCATTGTTGTAACCATAGTAACACATATTGAGGCAAATGGAAACTCGCATTTCCATGTAATAGGTCTTTATCTAGAGCTGATCAAATAGTAATATAATGTAATTTTGCAAAGTATTATTACATGCAGGAACAGAGAGAGTTTGATTCATGGTCTGTCTGCTTTTTGCATAAGAATTCTGATCTCTGCTAAGGGTTTATGAATCCTAAATTTGCAGTAAATTACATAATGTACTCTGTCTCTCCAATACTCAGGATTTTATTTTAAAAATTCCTATACTAAGAGGTCTAAGCACTTGATGCCTTTCCTTGTGTATCCCCACCCTGCAATCCCATTGCTCTGTTGGTCTCTTTCTGAACCTTCACAGGTTCAATTATATTCTTTTGAGGTGCAGCAACCACAAATGCATACAAATATTCTGGATGCAAATTCATCACAGAATGGTTTGATGACATTATGAAACGGTGATTCCCCCACACACCCTCTTAACACACCTGCAGTTACATTATTCTTCATAGTATCAGATATATTGACATATACACATACCTTGGTGAATTTTGTGCCGTGAGATTAATCCATGCACATTTTCTTCATCAGGGCTTAAATTCTCTGCCAAGAGCTATAGACAGAAATATCTGTCCATGTTTTCACCAAGAGGCAAATGTATTTGTTCTTTGCTTGTTGGTTCTTTTGATATACTGTAATTGCATTGAGCTCATATTTCCCAATTTTAGCAACCACATCCCTCGTGCTCTAAATGAAATAGGTTGACCACACTTGTTCAGAAAACTAGTGATCTTTCAGAAGATTGACCTAAAAGGTTCTTTTTTGGTGAACTCTTAACTACTGAGTGTTCAATTTCTGTTTTGGTTATTTAACATTTCATTATAATTACCCAGGTTGCATTTATACTTCATTTAGTTATTGATACATGGTTAGCTTGTCTTTAGTCATTGGTCCCATTCTAAAGTCAATTATCTTTTTAAATCATTTTTCCTTCGTATCATATTTTTCTATATGCATTCCTACGTAGGGGAGCAGATCTTCCATGTTGTTTTCTGCTACCCTTCCTAGATAGAAACACATTTACAGGTTAAAACAAACTTTATAGCTTATTTTGAAGTTTTCATTTTTCCTCACTTGGCAGGTGTCCTTTCAATGTTCAGCATCAATGTAATTTGCTGGCCTTGTTCAGATATAACACTAAGCCATGGTTTAGTGTTATGATAACAGCCCACAGAATGCCTCAGGCCTGCATCCTTCTCTCATTGGAGCCATGAGGAAAGGTTCAGAAGCTTTCACTTCCATTTTAGATTAACTGCAATTTGTCATGTCATCCAAACTCTGACAAACTAATTAATTTTAATGATGGGTTTCCCCCCCTGAAACAAGCCAAATAGTAGTTGATGAAGCTGGCCTGTTTCAGTTAATCATAAAGAAAATTAACCACAGTTTAGAGATCAGGCGATGAGCTAAACTGCAGTTACAGTGGTACCTCTGGTTACGTACTTAATTCGTTCTGGAGGTCCGTTCTTAACCTGAAACTGTTCTTAACCTGAAGCACCACTTTAGCTAATGGGGCCTCCTGCTGCTGCCGTGCCGCTGGAGCACGATTTCTGTTCTTATCCTGAAGCAAAGTTCTTAACCCGAGGTACTATTTCTGGTTTAGCGGAGTCTGTAACCTGAAGCGTATGTAACCTGAAGCGTATGTAACCCGAGGTACCACTGTAATTTGAAGTGGAAGTGAAAGCTTCTGACTATGCCATAAGAAGGAATCCACAATCTCAAAAGTCCTTGGGGCGTGCTCTTCTAATGTTAACCTATGGTTTAGACTGAGTTATATCTGAAAACAGCCTTTCTGACAATTGATATTTAATAGCCTCAGGACGCTCTTTCCTGACCATTATGAAATAACTAGTTATATATAAATAACTAGTTATATATAATATGCTTGGCAGGGGGTTGGACTCGATGGTCCTTGTGGTCTATTCCAACTCTATGATTCTACCTTATAGCATAATTTTTGTATGAGTAAAATTTCCACTTGCATTTTAAAGTAACCTTTTATTTTTACATTCCCCACTGCTCCAGATTATAGTCAAAGCCCTTTCCTTGCCATTTCTCTCTATTTTCCCCTTAATACATTGTTAAAGTAAGTATTTGTTCGGTCAGTGCAAGAACATTTTCCTGCGCTCTCCCCAAGCACCACATCGATAGCAATTTAAGTTGAAATAAATTTTGAAATCCTCAGTCTAAATTGATTATCTCCACTGCCCTTGGTTTTATGAAGACAACTTTTTAAGCACCTCAATCCAAAATTTCCTTTACTATGCTTCTGTTACTTCTCAGAACCAAATATCAGACTGCAAATTAATTAATTTATTTTTTGTTGAATGACAGTGGAACTTGACCTTATATTAAGGAATATTTCAGTGCAACTGTTAGTAGTAGAAGTGATACAGGGTAGTATTTAGCTAAGTTTACTAAATAGGAGTAAAATGCTAACTTGCTAAATTGAGTTGAAATCCAATGCAAATTACCTCATCAAATTAACCTTATTTGTTTATGGAAATGCTCCAGTTCATTTTTTTCTGGAAAGTTGACAACAGCACTTATTTTTTAACTGTATTGGGGAAAATGAACCAGTGCCAAGTAATACAGGATATTCTGTGTGTTCTGGACATTTTTATATGGACAGCTGTTTATACTGGACAAAAACCAGTTTCCTGTTTTTCCTGTAACTGTTACATGTAAACAGAATTGGCAACGTGAAGTACGTTGCTGTAGCTGAAGAGAATTTTTTTCTAGAAAAGCATTTCCTCTTCTTTATTATTACATTTTTATCTTGCCTTTCCCCCTTCTTCTGTGAGGTAATCCTGACTGCAAGATTTTGACTGGCCCGAGATCACTCAGGTGTCTTTTAGGCAGGGAAGGAATTTGAACTTGGACTCTCCCTAGTCCAAGGCAGACATGCTTTCCACAACACCACACTGAAACACAAACACACTATCTCCTCGCATACTTGCCCATACTAAATATTCAGATTTTATATGACCCACCAGTGGCATCAAGCAAAATGATTACACTGATGTGTCTCATAGTTTTGGGTTTTCTGTTAGAGAAGCTGGGATAAAAATCTGAAAATGTGGAGTTAAGGTACGAGATAGAAATTTTATTTCTAGTTCAACTAGCTAAAGAAGCTAAATTTAGATTTGAAATGTATTCTTCCGCCTCTGCTGTGAAAAATAATTCTGGTTTCTGTTGCGAATGAAATTAGAGGAGACATCATATAAACAAAGCCAAACACCTGTCCAAGAGTCCAGTGGCCAGTTGTTTCATAATTCATGTGTAGCTGGTAGCTTCAGTGTGTGGTCTCCCTCACATTTGACTTCCATTTGAAATAAAGCACTGTTGGGGGAAGTAAGGTTGAGCTTTTAAAAAACCAACCACATTTATTTAAGTGCCAAATATAAAAAAAGAAGGGAAAAACAAAGAAAGATCAGGGGGCAGGGAGATGGGGGCAGAGAGTGACAGTACACACTGTCAACACAAATCAAGAATATAATAGCTATCAGAACTTCCTTCCAAAACTAAACACAGAAGTCAGTATAAGCCATCTAGATAGGTATCCTCGTGAAATTGGTGTTTATAAAAAAAAATGTTCAAATGTAGCAAGGGTGGCGAGGCCCTCAGGCAGTTGCTCAATGGATGGTGTGTGTTTATTCTTGCAAGTTCAAAATACTTTGGCAACAAGAAGGGCTCACAGCTTCTGTTTTCCTGCCATTAATCCCCATGCTTATAGTAATATTGTTTAAGAGTATCTAAACATAAATTACAACAGGAGTGGTAACTGCAGCGATTAGATTACTATTTGGCCCTCGCCAGTAAATGATATTTAAGCCGCAATACAGAAAACAACAAAATTCACAATCTGACCCTATTAGCTGATCTAATGTATAAACCCCACAATCACTCCAAAGTTTGACAGTGCTTTTTTGTTGGTGTTTGAATTAGGCTGGTAGGAAACATAATGTGCTACTTTACCATTTAACTTATATCAACAACATGGCTTGGTTTAGTTCTTTAAAAGTAAGCTTTTCTGCTGCCCATGATTCCCTAAAACAAATTACCGGTATATCATAGCAAAGAAATGGTATTCAGTTTTAACTAGTTATGATAACTGCTATGGATTTCCTCTAAACAAAAAGTAATATTTTTAACAAATTAAATTTAAGGCTTTTTTGAAGAGGCTTGAAGCAGTGAAACCGACGGCTGGTATGAGGCGCTCTGAACAGCTCATGGACTATCAGCGGCAGATGAGTTACCTCAGTTCTGCTCCCTCTCCAAGGCGAGGGAAGTCTGCCTTAAGCCACCACAGCCCTTCTCGTAAGCAGAGTTTGCGCTTTTCATTATGTATTTTTTGTAATAGTGAATCATGCTTTCAAGTATACATGCATAATCCTGGATGTCTTCATCCCCCAGTCTCAACATGATTCAAATGTGTGAAAAGAAAAGAAAATTACTAAAGCCCAGTATTTAGTCCCATTTGCAACTTCCATTGCTCTGTGTGTGTGTCGCCCTTCATGTCCAGCTAAGCATTGAGAGTTATATGGGGAGATGAACAAGTCCCATTCTCAGATTTTTCTTGCAAACAAAATGTTTTGGGCAACATGACTACCAAATTACAGCCTTCTAGCAAATGTTGATTATTTGTAGAGTTCATGTTCCCCCTTTTAAAGGAAGTCCGCATTACTGTTCAGCATCTTCTAGTCCCCTGGAGTGTTTTGGGTTAGGGTTACTTGTGCGCTAAATTTCAGATTATTATTTTTGGTGTTAATATTTTATAGAAAAGTTTTCCATTATAAAGAAATAAAGTGACACAAAGAAAAAGAAAAGAAAAAGAAAAAAACAGTATATGAATATTTACGGGGTGGAAAATCAGATTTCTTGATTCTGTGGGGGTACATTTCAAGAGCAAAATACACGTTACGGGTTGAAGCCAAAGTGTTGCTCCAAATGTCCTAGATCCTCAGAAGTGGCTTTTTGAGGGTTCAGAAGACAGCAGCAGAAAGCAGGCATGGAGAAAGCCCCTTCCCATGAGCTGAGCCCCATTTGCAATTGTTAAGACCCTAACCCAATATTTCTGATCATAAAACGTGGAGTTGCTTGCATAGATTTTAAATGGCTTTGTTTTTCAAAATGGCAGAGTTATGCAAGCACCTTAACACTGTCCTCCCTTTTCTGTGTCCTTCCTCACAGGAGGTGCTTCGCGAGCATCCAGCCACAGTGCATCTAGTACCGTGAGTCGGAGAAGTGAAAGACCCGTTTATGACTCTTCTAGTGGTGCCCTGCAGCGATTGAAACCCACTAGTATTCGTACTGCCTGGCTCTAAGTTATTTGCACTTTGCCACCAGATTTTTAGTTCTGATGCATTTGCAGATTGCTGTAAAGGCTGTGCAAGAGTATTGTAATATTCACTGTTGGTGATTAAAGGACACTGGAAAGTGATATTAACTACAAACAGATACAACACTGATTATTATTGTTGTTGTTTTTTGAGCAAGCAAGATCTTTACTATATGTGTTGGATAATATCTTCCCAATCAGTATTTCTGCTAATGATATATTTGTATAAGAAAAGTGGCACTGTAAATCTGAAGTTCAGATGTGAGGAGTAGAGGGTGGACTTGTAGCACTTTTGGACCAGTATAAAAGTGTAAAAAAAATGCATTTCATTTTTCATTGTACAATAAACATTTGCATTGGATTAGTTGCTCAATCTTTTGTTTCTTACAGTATAGCTGCTGTTTTTAATTTAGCACAGTCAATTTATGCAGTCTTCAAGGAGAATTACATCGCTGGTGTTCAGTATAATTATTTATGAGGTCTTGTGGAAATGGTAGAGTGACGATATGCAGTACAATTCAACTCCGTTTCTTTCTGGTGATTCTTGAAATGGTTCTGTTTGGCTGAGTGCTTTCAGATGAGCTTATGTTTTGCTGCTGCTTCCGTGTCACATTCCAAGAATGATTTTTGATCAGGTCTCCATGCGTAATACTGAGAAATGTTATCTTTAAATGTTTTAATATTACATGTATCCAGTAGCAGTCAGAATGGAGGGATGGAGGTGCTTACATGACCTTCCCCTTGCATTGCTGTGCCCTTATCAGGAGGGGCAAGACAAAGGCGTACCTGATGCGGTGTGAACACGCTGGCAGGAGCACCAGATGTGTTTGCACTCCACAGGCCATCTTGTTTCTCTGCCTCCTCGTAAGGTGCAACCATGCAGGTGACGGGAGGTAAGCACCACCAACTTTCTATGCTGACCCTTACTACTTATAACTTAAGCAGTGCATTTGGTTTTATCCATTGTCTCCCGTTAAAGCTTGGCAAACCTTTTGTTAATTAAATGAAGCTCTCCTTTTTGTGGATTAAACTCAATTTTGACAGCGATTTTAATGTCTTAAGCAGTAAACATTAGACAATGGTGTGGAAAAGAGTAGCCTCTGTGAACTAAAGCTCTCTTATTGACCTTGCAATGTAACTAACGTTTCAGTAGCTCTGCCAGTGTGAAGTATATGCACAATTATGCTGATTGAATGGTTCTTTATGTAGAGTTTCACTGTTTCTTGAATGAAGTACAAATGAGCAAGCCATCTTCTGGTTGCACTGTTTTTTAAAAAAAAACTACTAAGCACTTTTAAACCTTTCCGTGACTTTTTTCTCTTCATAGAAAGCACAGTGTGTGCTAGCTTTAAACTGTATCATCTTAAATGTTTTACTTGATTGATTATGGAAGACATGAAACTTGTATGTCACTCTTTTTAAAGCTTTAAGTAAATGATTAATTGAATTACATCTGTGTTCAGCATTGTACTTCCTTTCTGTGAATATTTTATCCAGATATAAACAAAATGAGGTAAATTTGGAGCTTAAGTTTAGTAAGTCTGTCATAGAGTCAAATTCCCTTCATTCTTCAAGTTCTCTCTGTACTGATTGCCAACTCTAGCACTCTGTAGTGATTCCCCATTATTCTTTGATATAGGAAATAATGCTTCCACCTGAAACACAAGTTCTATTGATGGTGTATTTTCTGGGTAGCTTTCTGGTTTGTTTGGAGTATGGTAAGCCCACAACTTGCACACATTTAACTTAACATGCAGATTTATGCGCATGGCCAAAAATTGAAAGGTTGCAGGGTTCCAGGAAAAATGACTTTGTTAAGTCCTGCCACTGAACCCAGTGACTTTTGATGTGATTTTGGCTTTAGTTGTGATCCCCGGAACTTAAACCCCATGTAATTTGCAGGCCTACTGTAGATTCTTGCTAGTATCAAGAGAGTTGCCTCGCACAGTGTGAAGGAGCAAACACTACATTAAACACACAATATGTATGTGCTACAGAGAACTATAGCCTATCTCAGCTCTTTAGTATAAATAAAGCTGTGTCAGTTATACACAAGCTATTTGTGTGCAGAAAACACTTGATTTTAGTGTACATAATTCAGTGCATGGAGAGCCCCCCTGAGAAACTATAGTTGTTATCCTATGCAGATTTTGGAGCTTCACAGAAGAGTTAAACATGATTTGATGTATAAGCAGGAAAGGTTTAATCAAGGATACAGAGGTAACATAGGATACAGAGGTGTACACATTCATTTTCACAAATACCTCCTTGCTGGATTTGACTGAATAGCTAGCTAGTTTGCCATACTGTGAGATACTTATTGGGAAAGACCACATGCAGGGCATAGCTGTAATAATCCTATCCTGCTGATTATGTCAAGCATCTGCTAAGATGAGAGAGTCTCATATTGAGTATTAACGAGAGGGGCCCAAAGTCCTGGTATAAGGCAGGTTTCTATGTTCTTAAAAGTGTATTGTTCTATGTATATTGGGTGCTTTCTGTTCTGTTAGCTTGAAGCAAGCAGTGATCAGCTTGGAGGCAGAAACTGGTGTCTATGTGTTCTGCTCCTTTTGCCCACAAAGCAAGTTCTGTTTACATGTCTCACATAATATATGAGATGTCATTTACTTGCACAGCATCCAAGAGTGTAGTCTTGACATTCTCCCATCACTTCATTGGCTTGTTTGCTGTTCATTTCTGCAGTACCGATACAGTATAGACATTTCCCTGAAGTTCTGGTTAGTATCTTCTGCTAATTAAGGGCATCAGCAGTTTCCATGAAGAGGGTTAGAAATAATTGCCTGTTTGATGTATTTGCAGTCTAAAGTGCTTTGTCTGTAACTGTAGCTGGAAGCAAGATAATTATATTTCTGCTTCTGGAAAGACACCCAAGAACATCGTCTCCTTTTCGGAAGGAACAATAGTAGTGATAAACATTTGCAGAGATAAAAGCCGATTATCAGTTTGCTCAGGGAAAGCAATGCCTACCTGTTTTGTTATATGACCCATATGTATGTGTATATGTTTTACACTTCTACCCCCACTCTTCTTCTAAAGAGCTCAGAGCAGCTAAATGTGGTTCCTTGACAGCTTCTCATTCATGTGGCTTAAGGGTCAAACTAGCTTCAAAAGTTGTAACCGTGTCCTCATTTTCAGACCATTTGCTGGCAGGCTGTGCAACAAAATGAGCAGGCATTACAGTGGTACCTTGGGTTACATACGCTTCAGGTTACATACGCTTCAGGTTACAGACTCCGCTAACCCGGAAATAGTACCTCGGGTTAAAAACTTTGCTTCAGGATGAGAACAGAAATCATGCTCCAGCGGCGTGGCGGCAGCTGGAGACCCCATTAGCTAAAGTGGTGCTTCAGGTTAAGAACAGTTTCAGGTTAAGAACAGACCTCTGGAATGAATTAAGTACTTAAACCGAGGTACCACTGTACTGCTTTTAGCTAGATTCCCCCCCCCCCCAACTTCAAGCTGCAGGATTTAAAGGGTAGATAGATACGTTCATTCTAAAATAGGCCTTGTGCTAGATTTACGCATGTAGTAGAATCCCAACCTTCGGTTGCTAGTACTAGTTTTCTTATTGTAAGGTTTTTTTAAAAAAAATTAGAAAGCACAGAAAGACAGCTTCACCTACCTTCCAATGGTAATACAGTCACTATGACTTCAAAATTCTAGCTTTACATACATTAGCTTTGCAAAACTCTGTTTGCATCCATCAGTAACTAACTTCTAGTGTCTTGTACAAATTTTTATTAATGACACAATTTAGCAGCTGGCCATAGTTAAGCATGTTTAAGGCCCATTGACATTTGTAGGTTAGTCAAATGTGTCTTGTTCTTGCTGACTGGTTCTCATAAGTCCTTAACGTTGACAATTGGGTCCATGAGATGAGGTGAAGCAACCGCCACCAGGGCAGCAGATCTTGATGCGAATCTTTCTTTTTCCCACCACCCTCGTTCCTGATGCAGATCTTCCTGACCCCCTTCTTCACAAGCAAGGATGGTGGGGTGGCTCCATTTTGGGGTCTGACTCTGGTGCCAAAATGTATTGGGCCAGCCCTGAGCCAAATAACAAACCTGTGTAAAATGAGAACAGTATCCACATTTTTCTTGCCAAGGTAACGCCTGGGCCACAATGACTTGGAAAAATGAAGGCTCACTTTCATTCAGAAGTTTTCAATGCTGGGTTGCAGATTTGAAATCTCCTCCCTTCTAATGATGTCCACAGCTCCTAATTAGCAGAGAGCCTTTCTAATTTGAAATCAGGGAAGGATTGCCAGAAACTAGGACAGCTGAAAGCTGTGCATCAGCATAATAGGGTGCTTCATAATTTGCTCCTTTCTTGTTTTAGGCTAAAGTGTGCTGTACATGGCCATTATGAGGCCTCTGGAGAATGCTCTTAAGCTTGTCTTCAATCAGTGTATCGCTCAGAATTAACAAACATCTTGGTGATTATGATCCTGGAAAAGCATCAAAGAGGCCAAGGATTGAGGATGGTGGCATTTAAAGAGATTTAGTGGACTCAACCTAGAAATCTTATTCGGATAAAATACTCAAATGTCAGATAGCAAAAAAGGCACAGGGAACTTTTATTTATTTTTTACTTGAATGGCAATTCTCTATGCTGTATAAGAACTTTCTGAATTATGCCTAGAGTTGCTGGCTACTGTGAGGTGTCATTTTTTTTGTTTTCAAGCACATATAATGTCTGTGGCTTACAGTGACAGTAGAAAACCTCTAATAATTTGTGAAGAAGGCAGCTGAGGGTTGAAATGGAGGTGGATGGTTGGCATGTTCTTCCATTTCCAACAAAGGATTTCTTGATACTTTTGCCTGTGTAGGAAACAAACAACAGCTGTAGAAGCCCTTTCGTAAATATGAGATTTTACTGCCTCAGTTCCAAGCTAATCTCCATGTAGCAAATGCAATTACTGCATTTACTACAGGAAGCACACTGCTCTGTTAACTTACACATTGCCAAATGGCAACACATCATTTGTACAACTCTCATAATAGGATTGTTTTGCCGTCGTTTGGATGCATGATTAGCAGTCTGCCTTTGTGATTTTAAGGAACTTTCTCTGAACAGAAACAGACAGGGACGCGTGGCGCTGTTAAAGCTCAGCCAGGCTGCATCGAAGGTCGCGGTTATCCCCGCGTGGGGTGCGCCCCGTCTTCCGCGCCTGCAACTAGCAGTTCGAAACACCCCTGGGTGCAAGTAGATAAATAGGGACCGCTTTCTAGCGGGAAGGTAAACGGCGTTTCCGTGTGCGGCTCTGGCTCGCCAGAGCAGCGATGTCACGCTGGCCACGTGACCCGGAAGTGTCTTCGGACAGCGCTGGCCCCCGGCCTCTTGAATGAGATGGGCGCACAACCCTAGAGTCTGTCAAGACTGGCCCGTACGGGCAGGGGTACCTTTACCTTTACCTGAACAGGAAACATTCCCTCTTGCCCCAGCACCTGCAAGTTAGCAGCCTTCAGAGGCCTCTGTCTGGCAGAAGAGCAAGCAAGGGTGGGAGCAAAACCAACCCCAACTGGGCTGTCCAATTCATGATGCAATGCTGCTTCAAGATTGTCTCATGCCATGTCTTTTTAGAGATCTTTTCCCAGCTGTCGTTTGGTATGGAACCAAGAACCGTTTGTCAGGACTACCAAAAATATCCTAGGATATTATAAACACAAAACATATTTATAATAGGCTGGTACAAGTAAAGCTGCTTTTGAATTATGGTGCTGGAGGAGACTCTTGAGAGTCCCATGGACTGCAAGAAGATCAAACCTCTCCATTCTTAAGGAAATCAGCCCTGAGTGCTCACTGGAAGAACAGGTCGTGAAGCTGAGGCTCCAATACTTTGGTCACCTCATGAGAAGAGAAGACTCCCTGGAAAAGACCCTGATGTTGGGAAAGATGCAGGGCACAAGGAGAAGGGGACAGCAGAGGACGAGATGGTTGGACAGTGTTCTCGAAGCTACCAGCATGAGTTTGACCAAATTGCGGGAGGCAGTGGAAGACGGGAGTGCCTGGCGTGCTCTGGTCCATGGGGTCACGAAGAGTCGGACACGACTAAACGACTAAGCAACAACAACAACAAGTAAAGCTCCACTTTGTGTATTGTGGGAGACTTTGAAGCTGCCCGGGGTGGGGCGGAGTGGCACTCCTAAACATGGGAGCTCTGAAGGCATGGATTGGGCTAGTACAGAGAATGCATGCTGAGAATGCCCTGTGACTATCATGTGATGAATGCTTTGGGACAGATTTTATGGACCAAAAAGGGCTATTATGTGCTGGCGACCATTATGCGGTGATATATGGTACTAGCCAAAATGGCTCTGTTCTTCCTCCACTGTTGGAGGCAGTATGCTCCTGAATGCTGGGAATCACAAGTGGGGAGGTTGGTGCCGTGCTCAGAACCTGCTTTTTGGCTTCCCGTGGGCATCA